CACTCTTTATGGAGGAGTATTCGAACATGGGATGTTATTTCGTTGTCGGCTATTTCATGTAGTACTATATGGTATCGTGTGAGTTGTGAATTGGTTTGATAGATTTCTTACGTGTGAGGTTCCGCGTAGCGATGGTGTTATGTGAGCAAGATGGCTCCTGTGACTCAGGTTATATATCGCACCTCAGTTGTGCTTGGGTTTTGTAGCTTACGGCGCTATTTGTTTCCCTAGGGATGGTATTATGCACTTAGTGTGCTTGTGACCGATATTCGGTATTTTGTAAGTAATGAGCAATTTAGCTTGGTGTGTATCTCCTTATGTAAATTTTATGTGTGGAACAGGTGGCACGCCGCCACGGGCATGTTATTTAGATCGGGTTGCATGCTGCAACAGTATGATGTTGAGTACAGTTTTCTGTATTCTAATTTTTGTGTGTTTTGTTTTACATTTTATAAGGAAAGTCCATATTAACAGCGTGAGTTGAGTAGTCCCTTCCAGAGTTCGTTTTCCTTATGTATCGCGTTCAAGTTTGTATCTTATTGGCACATTGTGGCATCATATGAGGCTTTTGGTCATGTCTGTGGTGACTATTACCTGAGCAGCTCGTACTGAGTTAAACGAGATTATTAGATCTAGGATCGGTGCAATCGGCTTATATGAAGTATATTAAAGAGCAAAGATCATTATTTGGTTCAGATTGAGGTAATGGTTCTTGTCAGGAGTATAGACTCAAGGATTTGTTGACTCGGCAATTGGTTATGAAATTCTACACATCTCTTCCATCATGGCGGGCATGCAAAGGTCGGGACAAGAGGTATATAGGTCATGAAATGCATTGGGAGCATCAGATTCGTGGAATTTCGGCTATTATGATCAAAGAATGTTATTGTGGTTCTGTGAATGATGTGGCGCAAGGTGAGAATTCAGCAAAGGTATGCAGTTATGTTATGGTACCTCGTGTAGTGATTGATACGGTGTTCATATACTGGAAGCATGCTTGGCAGAGAATTTCGGATGTCGAAATTGGGCTCTAAGGCTCATTTGCCTAAATAAAAGAGCATATCTTCATATTTGATCGAGCTAATAAGCTTGACTAAGTTGTGGTAGCACGGGTAGGTGCATAAGGTGTTAAACAATGATTTCGGACAACTTCACTGCAGTTCTCAGCACGTTCAAGGACGAACGTATGTTTAAGTGGGAGAAAATATAACGACCTGACCGATCGTTTTGAGCTCTAGCATGTTATTCGGCAATTCGAGGCCATGAGCAGCCTCACTTCAAATATTATGACTTGTACGTATTGCCGGAATCGAATTCCGGAGAGTTCGGAGTTGATTCGGAAAGTGAATTCTCATTTCGAAAGCTTTAAGTTGAAAGAATTGACTAAGATTGAATTTTTGAGTAAACGACCTTGGAATCGGGATTTGAAGGTTCCAGCAGGTTCATGTGATGGTTTTGGATTTGGGCGTATGTTCGGATCGGGTTTTGGATGACCCGGGAGTATTTCGGCGCCCATTGTGGAATTTAGCATTTTAGAAGAATTTCATAAATTTGGGTTAAAGTGCATTTCAATACTATCGATGTTCGTTGGGGATTCCGAGTGTGGGAATAGTTCCGTGTGGTAATTCTAGTATTGGGAGCGCGATCGGAAGTGGATTTGGAGGTTTGTAGGTCATTTTGGAGCTATTTGGCGAAAATTAGAAATTTGAAGGTTTTTGAGAAGTTTAACCGAGAGTTGACTTTTTGATATCGGGGTCGGATTCCGATTCCGAAAGTTGGAGTAGGTCTGTAATGTCGAATGTGACTTGTGTGCAACTTTTGAAGTCATTCCGGATTGATTTGATATGTTTCGGCGCAAAATATAAAAGTTGGAAGATTTGAAAACTCATAATTCGATTCAATACGCGATTCGTAGTTTTGACGTTGTTTGACGTGGTTTGAAGCCTCGATTAAGTTCGTATTGTATTTTGGGACATGTTGGTATAATTGGTTAAGATACCGAGGGCCTCGGGTGGATTTCGAAAGGTTAACGGAATGGATTTTGGACAAAAGGAGTTGCTGCATTTTTCTATTGCAGAAGCTGTTTTTGGACAGCAACTGGTGCAATCACAGAGCTAGCTTTGGGAACTTATATCTTGCAATCTATAACGAATCTGAAAATGTGTAAAACATGAAAGTTGTAGCCCTTGCATTCTAGTTTCCAGAAAGTTAAACCATTCATGATTTGGACATTTTATCGGAAAATTATAGTCAATTGAAGATGGCCGGTGGAGCAGTTTCGACAGAATTTTCTAATGCATGGAGCCGATTTTAAAAGCTCATATCTCGGAATATATAAAGATTTATAAGGTGTACAACTATCAAATGAAAGATCTTCGAGTCTAGTTTTTAAATCTTCAAGCCGTTTGTCATTTGGATATTTCCACAAGGAGTTATGCTCGTTTTAACAGAATGTATACAGCAGGGGAAAATTGTAATAGGATGTACAGCCTGCACAGCGCAGGGTAGAACTCGATGAAGCCTGGGCAAATTGTTTTAAGCACAAGTTTTGGCCCATTTCTTTCATTTGGCTTGGACGATTTTGGAGAGCTCAAGGAGGGATTTTCACCAAGCAACACTAGGTAAGTGATTTCTTCCTATTTTTGAGTTAAATATGTGATCTTACATGGATTTAGACATGAAAAATTAGTATAAATTTGAGATTTTTGGGGAAGACCTAGAATTTGGAATTTTGGACTTTTAATTTGAATTTGAGCATGAAAATTAGAGCAAATTGTATATTTGAGTTGGTAAAGCTATGGGTAGAATTTATCTTCGAAAAATTTCGGAATCCGGGCATATGGGCCCAAGGGCATTTTGGTCAACCTTTCGAGCGGAGTTGGGAACTTATATAATTTGAATTGTTACAAGTATTAGAGTGAATTTTTAGTGGTTTGCCCGTTATTTGAATAGTTTTGGGGCGTTGTGCATCAATTGGAGTCGTTGGAAGGGCTTGGAAGCCGATTATGGAAATTTCTGAGCGAGGTGAGTCTCCTTTCTAACCTTGTAAGAGGAAATTGTTCTCATATGTGAAATAATTGGATATGGGCTCCTATTTGTGGCGGCTACGTACGCACGAGGTAACGAGAGTCCATGCGTAGCTACTATTATGTTTGAGTTCGGGTAGTCTAGGACCTAAAAGCATGCTATAATTGGAATATTTGTAATCTTATTGATAGTTTGAATTGCTTAAATCACGTCGAATTAGTAAATGAATTTCTAAAAAAGATTAAACTTCATTTTCTTAAATTGTTAAAAGAGAATTAGCTTTCTTTGGATAATTGTTCCATGTTGACTCCTTGGTTGACTTCCTGTGTGTGTTTAATTTTGGAACGGGCCGAATGCCTCGGTAGATTAAATAGATGCATCTATGGTTCGCGTCATTCGACCCTCTAGCAGTGCACGGTTTAAATATTGTTGGATCGAGTCGTACGTCCTCGGCATGATTTGCGCATGCTTGTATTGCTTGCCTTGAGATTTATTGATATTGATATTTGCTCTTCCCGACTTGAGATAATTGAAAATGAATAGATTATGAATCCGGAGATTTTTTAATACAAAAAGGAACTTTTACCTGTTCATGGCTTATTTGAAATTATTGTCGTTCTTAATAAATCTATGATTACTCGCATTAATAATATATTATTATTGGACCACTAGTAAGTGTCGAAATCGACCTCTCGTCTCTACTTCTTCGAGATTAGACGGGATACTCGTTGGGTACATGTTGTTTTCGTACTCATGCTACACTTGCTATGCATTTTTGTTACACAGGTTTATGTGCGGCTAGTGGCTTAGTGGCATAGTGGCATGGTTGATACGGGGACTTAGGTGAGTTGCATTTATCGAGACGATCGCAGCCAGTAGAGTCTCCTTCAGAGTATTGTACTGTATTTTCATTTCTATCCACTTGTATTCCGGATAGTTTCTGTATTTTATTTCATTCCCTATTAAATGCTCATGCACTTGTGACAGCGGGTTCTAGGATGATCGCGGAATTTTTCAGTAGTTAAATTTTGTAAAGATATCCTCATTTATTCCGTGGAGTTTATTATTTATTAATTATTTGTTTAAAGGAAATGATTTCAAAATAAATAAAACGAGAAATTGCTAGTAAATTATTATTGGCTTGTCTGACAGTGGTGTCCAGCGCCATCACAACCCTTAGTGGATTTTGGGTCGTGACATGAATACAATTTGAATATTTTTTTGGTAAAGATGGTGTTCTGTTAAGAAAAAACTCATGTGTTTCACTATATGCACTGTATCCATAGTGTTTATTCAGCAGTTTATAATTTCAAATATTAATGGTGTTTCAATATTTTGTGCAACAGTTACTATTCAACAGGTTGTAGTCATATGTACTCAGCAAATGTATATAAACAATATGCATTCATCAGTATTCTAAAATTAATCCTTTAGCATATTGTATTCATATATATATATATATATATATATATATATATATATATATATCAGGTTTTATATGCATCATGTATTGGTACTATATGTGTACTGTATTTTTTAAAAATATTAGGGTGAAAGAATACTTGGAGATTGCTCTGCATTCTTTATATACACATACAGTATTCAGATATATTTAGTAGATTGTATTCATATGTATATATGTATTCAGATTATTCAGCAGATTGTATATTGATCATGTTTTGAGATAAATTCAAGAGATAATATTGTATGTGTACTGTATTTTATATTCACACATTGTTCAAATATATTCTGTAGAGTAATATATTCTTGAGATTTTACTGTATGCGTAATGCATTTTGTATTCATAAGTATTCTAATGTATTATTTTGTATGCGTATTGCAATTTATATTCACATCTATTCAACAGATTGTTCAACGGAACCTTTGTGTATACATATTTATTCAACATATAAATTTGTTTAGCAGTTTACTAAATTATATTCCTAAAAAGAAATCATCACGCAAAAATCCAATAAACCAACAATTCAATATGTATTATTCCAAAATGTCGTCGGTCTACATCCTACATGGAGCATTTCTACAAGTACGCTTATTATGTCCTCTCTGCGACAATTCACTTAACGGCTTATCGCACTTCTTCTATGGCCTTCAAAGAGGTCTTTTCCATTTAGGTGGCAAGACAACTTCTGATATATGTGTTGTTCATTCCAGTCATGCAGCGGATACACGGGCACCTCGTATGTCATTACCACAGACTTGGTTTGTAATAGTCCGAGCAATAATCTTCTGGCATTAGAAACTTGCTCTTCAAGACAGCCCAAGCGTGTGGGCATGGTAATTCGTCAACTTGGAACCGCCCACAACTACACTTTCTCTCTAAGAGGAAAACGATGTAATGCCTTCCTTCATCGTTTATCGTATGCAAGTATTTAGTCGATGATACAACCTACATTTAAACAAAGACCTGTAAGTTTTGAACATTTTTAAAAAAGTCATATAGGTCTCAAAGAATAGACATATTAAATAAAGTATACATATATACAATAAAAAATAAATAAAATATACAGAATTATCATATATATTGAATTAAAAAAAATATGAATAGATAAAATACAAAGATATACAGTGATATACAATAAAATATATCCAATGCCAGGTAATAAGTCTACATTTACGCTGGCAGAATATTAATGTTGATGACATTTTAACTAATGAATACAATAATATAGAGTAACATACACTCCATCTGCTTAGGAAATGCATCTGATTATAAACAAAGCCATTGAATGTATAACGACCCGGCCGGTCGTTTTATGAGTTACCGCTCCATTTTCCCCATTTCTGCTTCTTTATAGGTTGATTCAGCTGTATTTCATCGTGTTGTGTTGGTTAGTTTGGGTTCGGAATGATTTTGTAGAGAAATGAAACACTTATTCTCTTAAGTTGGTCTTTTAGTTGGAAAAGTCAACCGGAAGTTGACTTGTGAGAAAACGATCTCATAATTTGATTTTTATGATTCGGATAGCTTTGGAAGGTGATTTGGGACTTAGGAGCGTGATCGGAATGTGTTTTGGAGATTCGGAGTAGATTTAGGCTTGAATTGGCGAAATTGAAATTTTGGCATTTTCTGATTGATAGGGGAGATTTTGATATAGGGGTCGGAATGGAATTCTGGAAGTTGGAATAAGTCTGTGGTGTCATTTGTGATGTGTGTGCAAAATTTTAGGTCATTCGAACAAGGTTTGATAGATTTTTGATCGAAAGCGGACTTTGGAGGTTTTGGAATCTCTTAGGCTTGAATCCGATGATGATTTGGTGTTTTGATGTTGTTTTGAGTGTTCCGAAGATTGGAACAAGTTTGAATGATGTTATGGGATATGTTGGCATGTTTAGTTGGGGTCCCGAGGGCCTCGGGTGAGTTTCGGATGGTTAAACGGATAAAATTCATGTTTGAAAAGTTGTAGATTTTCCTTCAAGTCTGTTGCAGACATTTTGTTCTTCGCGATCGCGTATGAGTGTTAGTGATCGCGTAGGCTCAGTTGGGCAGGGTGAAAATTGTTCTATGTGATCGCAGAGATCCGGGCACGATCGCGGTGGGCTGTGAAATTGTTGTTCGCGAACGCGTGGCCAGGATCGTGGTCGCGTAGAAGGGATGAGCTGGTGAGAGGGGTATAGGATTGTTCTATGCGATCGCGGAAGGTAGCTAAGGCAGTGCCATGCGATCGCGTGGAGTTTGTATGCGATCGCGTAGGGTTAAAATCAGGGCAGTCAGTTTTGTGTTTCGCGATCACGAGGCATTTTCCGCAATCGCGATTAAGGAATTTAAATCACTGGGCAGAATGTTTAAAAGGCCATTTTTGCGATTTTTGACTGTAGTTTACCATTTTTGAGTCGGTTTTGGAGCTTCTTGGGGGAGATTGAAGGGAGAATTCAAGAAACTTTGAGGTAAGATTACTGAACCTAAAACTCGATCCTATGTTGGTTCTTACTTGTTTAAACATGAAATTAGTGGGATTTGAAGCCTAAAATTGGGGAGTTATGGCTTGAAATTGGAGACTTTGATTTGAGGATTTGAGGGGTCATTTGTGGTCGGATTTTGACGTATTTGGTATGTATGAACTCGTGAGAGGATTCTAGTTTTGTAATTTTTATCGAAATCCGAGACGTGAGCTCGGGGGTCAGGTTTGGCCAATTTCGAGATTCTTGATGTAAATTGATTATTTTCGTGTGGGCTTCGTTCCTCTAGCATATATTGATGTTGTAATTCTGATTTGGATAAATTCAACGCGAGTTGAGGCCGAGTCGAGAGACAATCTGGTTTGAGGTAAGTAACCATTGTAAATCTAGACCTGAGGGTATGAGACCCCGGTATTTCGTATTGTTTTGATAAAAGAGGTAACGCACATGCTAGGTGACGAGCGTGTGGGCGTACACCAGTAGGGATTGTGACTTGGTCCATCCCGTAGCGACTATTTAGCCGTGTATTTGATTTGAACTCTTATGATATCCCGTATTTTAGAGATTGATACTATATGTTGGGTTGTACGCCGTGTTTGGGGCCTTGTGCCGACCTGTTTAGATCCTTAGGAGTGTCACACCTCCTTTTTACCCACCCGAGAGGGATATAAGGGAGTTTTTCCAATTAAAGTGATATTATTCGAAATGTGATTATTTATTTGTTTCAGAGTCACCACTTGGAATAGTTTATTTGGTATCCCAAGTCACCGGTTTATTTTTAAATCGCAAATCGAGGAAATTTTGACTTTTATTTAAAAGTCTGCGAACCAGAAATTCTAAGTAAGGAATTCTGTTAACCCGGGAGAAAGTGTTAGACACTCCCGGGTTCCGTGGTTCTAGTACGGTCGCTTAAACTATTAATAATTGGCCTATTATCTGATTTACTACATGTTTTAAACCTATTATGCATTTTAACTTTATAACAGCTTTTAAATTATTTTATGGAATTATTCTGGAACAAGTCACGATTATCGTACACTTGTTTGTTTGATACACATTGCGAATCATGTCACGGGAACCGTACCCACAATCTACAACATGTTTAATTTATTAAAGTTATTAGACGTTGTGGTCGGGTCACATAAATGTACCCCGGATTTGGAAATTAGGTATCACAACTACGTCACGGGAACCGTATCCGTAGCTATGATGATTTTATTATAAACACGCCTAAAGCAAGCTACGAATGTTTAAAAAGATGTTTTACTATACTAAATTAATACTTACTGTGAGGGCCATAAGTTATGAGTTTTATTTGTGTATGGCACACCTCAAATTATTTTAAAAGAAAAGCATAGTATTTCTCTAAGGTAAACTAAAGATGCTCATACTCTAATCTAATTTAAAATTAGGTATCACAACCACGCCACGGAAACCGTACCCGTAGTTGTAATAATTTAATTACGTGCCTAAAACAAACTACGATGTTCGTAATTTTCCTTCTACTTCAAGATTATTGTGAAGACCATGAATTAGGAAAGTCATTTGTGAAAATAGGGGTTAGCCATTGATTCAGTAACAAATTCAAATCCCTACGACATGTCAACAATTGTGCATTTAACACCACTAAAACCATAATAAACTTTCTTTTCATCTAAAACCCAGTACTGGACAATATCTGAAAAACTCAATAAAGAATACTATATGGCAGACAAAATACATGTTCCTAATTTGACCATTTAAGTCTAACTATGCTTTGAAAAGAATAGAAAATAGCAAATGATACGCCAGCTTTTAACCATCTCCCTAACTTCAAGCCAAATCAATACCTAAGTTATTTAAAAAGGCTCCAACTTTTCATTATTCAACATGCCCATCCCAAAAAAAAAAAGATTAAATTAAATAAGCAAACAAATGAAAGTAGGAAAAAGAAAAGAACGACATTGCATTAAGCTAAAACAGAGGATTTCTTCAAGATTTCATAATCTTAAGTTTCCATTTGCCACCATAATCAAATTGATGTTTAAACACAGTAACCCAAACCAATTTAACATCAGATTTTCATGAGCCTAAACTTTCCTTTAACAGAATTACAAATGACATAATTTATACATGGCCAGAATTTGAGGCAAACTTAAATAGAGATAAGTTCACGTAATTTTCATTCAATGAAATCAGATCACAAGTTATGAGTTTGCCGATTACACTGTTAAACTTAGGAATGACAATAGTCTTATTTATTTATCAGTCACATGCTAAGGACCCTCTAACTTGTTTGTTTAACCTTTCAACTTATTAGACAATGACTTCCCATTTTGTAAAAAAAATGAAATTGTTGGCGGTCATGAGCCATAAATAATATCTGCAGACGAGCACATGGTCTTGCAGAGAGTCAATCATAATCCCACTTTCAGAAGAGGAACAAATATCTATACCTCACAAAATTTTGGACCAAGGAACTCTGATAAAATAATTAATAATGCTATCTACAATTTGTTACTCCATAGTCACTGTAAAGCGGCAAATCCAAGACAAATGTGTTCATACAATGAATAAAGTCTAAGGCAAGCAAATTATTATTACAATACACAGAATCCAAACAACAATAAAAGATAGAAGGAAAATAGTCATGACTTTATATTAAATCAGATCTGGAAAAATACAGAGGTAAGAGAACATACTTACTTGGACAAGAATTGGCATATTTGTACGGAAAATCGGTTAAACCAAACCAAACCCAGATCTGAAACTCGATAACCACAAAATAGCAAAAAATGTGAGGAGCTCAGCATCAACAGACCCGGCAGAAAATCAACAGCCTCTGTTTTTCCTTTTTTTTTTTTGAAATTTCGGTCCTTGACCTACAGAAAAGAAGGAGTCGAGTTCTGAACTCAAATGTTCTTCAATCTTCCTTTAGAGGATCCGATTCTTTTTTTGTTTTTCAAACTTTTGTGATTTTTTCATCTTCATTTCAAAGTAGAGGTGTGTGTCTGAAGGTGAAAGATGATATTAAGGATGAGGAGGAAGGTCATTTTCTTGTTCTTCAAGATCAGAGAGCGAGAGAGCAGTCATCTCTTTTGGATCTAGGGGTTTTTTCTTCTTTTTTTTTTTTAATTTTCTGTGGCTTTGAGAAATGAAGAAGATGAAGTGGAACCGGCTAGGTGCGCCATTTTTTTCTGCTTGGGATCTAGGAACAACAACAACCTAGTGTAATCCCACAAGTGGGGTCTGGGGAGGGTAATATGTACGCAGATCTTACCTCTACCCCAAGGGTCAGAGAGGCTGTTTCCAGGAGACCATCGGCTCGAAGAGGCAACAAGACACACTATATTAGTACTATCAATATACTCATAATAAAACAATATAAAATACCATAAAAACCATAACATAACATAAATACCATAAAAAACAAAGTAACAGCAATATAAGAGATATAGGAAATACGAGAAAGATGTAAGGTATTAATACACAGAAGATAAAGCACATCATCAGTAGTTGATCAATAGCATTCTAAGACTAATTTCTAACTGGTTAGTCTCACTCTAGTGCGCTGTAAAAAAGACATCACAATTTTCCCTAACCTATTATATCTAGGTCTATCAATTAAAAGGGTAGGGGTTTGGGATCAGGCGGGTGGAGTTTGGTTTTTGGGCTGGATAGTAAAATTGGGCTTGATTTGGGTACAAAAACTAGCCCAATATCCAATTAAATATTTTCTTCAATTTCCTTTTTCTTATTTCCGTTTCTTTTCCTCTTTTTTTTTAATTAAGAGAATAACCTAAATTAAATTCTTAAATTAGTCTAAATTGTAAAATTAAGTTAATTATCTAATTATAATATTTATAACAATTACTTGATCCTAAATAAAAAGAGAAAAATCATTAATCTAAAAATTAAACGGTAAAAATGTAAAATGAGCCATTTTTAAGATTTTTATTTTTAATAAAGCAATTAATTAACTAATTAATCCTAAGAATATAAAAACAAAAATTTAAATGTAATGCATGGTATTTTGACATTTTTATAATTTTTAACAAAAATTAAACGTGCACAAAAATGCAAACAATTAATAAAATCCTACAAAAATCCTATAAAATGGCAAATAATCGGAAAAATCTATTTTCTTTGATTTTATAGGAGTATTTTATATAGGACAAAAATCACGTGCTCACAACTGTCCCTCTTTGCTCGAAAACACAAAGGGTTTTCGGACAAAGATAAAGTGAGCGGATACGAGCGATTTTTTCCTGTTTGAATACTTCGTGGGAAGCATTTTTGAAAGATCTGACCGAACCTTGCTTCCGAGGTTACCTACATATCCTTGGCTATAAAGGAATCAGGTCAGTGTAGTTCGGGAAGTTTTGGTAGTTGGGACTACCGGGACTTTGTGATTTCACTGCTGTTGCGTGGTTTCTGCTTGCTGAGTTCCTTATTACACTGAAGTAAAAGATGAAAAGCTAAACTAGCTAAGCCTATCAACTACGAGTTACAAGATTCATATCTATAAACCTTCTGAAGCTTGATCTTGAGTCTTGGATGGTTCTTCCTGCAGACTCTGATCTGAATCTTGATGCTCGTTAGCTGCAACCGCTAGTTCATTCTTCTTCAGCTTTTCGGATCAAGGCGGGACATGCAAAACTTGTGACTTCAATTATATCTTGAGCGGCCGCATCTTTTCTCAGCTTCTACACTTAGAGTTCAACTTTTTTTCTTGTTCTTCTCTTCTTTTATTTGGGTTGAGACTTCTTCTTTTGGTCATCTCAAACATTGTGTCTCACGGTGAAAACCTGTTCAGGCACCAAAGCAAACAAAAGAACGAAATTTTCTTCCCCAGTTTTCACTAGGAAAATTTTGTGAGTTATTGTAACAAAATTTAAACTATTTCTTTATTGAAAGCAATTAAAATCGGGATTGTGTATCCTTGGGAAAAAGAAATTAGGGAGTGGAGACCTATATTTATAATGAAATCAATTAGGGAGTGGAGACTCTATGTTAGAAAAGAGACTAGAGAGTGGAGACCCTATATCTAAACTAAAATCAACTAGGGAGTGGAGACCTTATGTTGGAAAAGTGATTAGGGAGTGGAGACCCTATGTTGGAAAAGTGACTAGGGAGTGAGGACTCTATGTCTAAAATAATTTCAACTAGAGAGTGGAGAACCTATGTTGGAAAAGCAGACTATGGAATGAGACCCTATGTCTAAAATAAATTCAACTAGGGAGTGGAGACCCTATGTTGAAAAACTGACTAAGGAGTGGAAACCCTATGTCTAAAATAACTTCAACTAGGGAGTAGAGATCATATGTAGGAAAAGCAGACTAGGGAGTGGAGACCCTATGTCTAAAATAACTTCAACTAGGGAGTGGAGACCCTATGTTGGAAAAGTGACTAGGGAATGGAGACCCTATGTCTAAAATAACTTCAACTAGTGAGTGAAGACCCTATATTGGAAAAGCAGACTAGGGAGTGGGGACCCTGTGTCTAAAATAACTTCAACTAGGGAGTGGAACCCTATGTTGGAAAAGCAGACTAGGGAGTGGAGACCCTATGTCTAAATAAATTCAACTAGGGAGTGGAGACCCTATGTTAGAAAAATGACTAGAGAGTGGAGACCATATGTCTAAAATAACTTCAACTAGGGAGTGGAGACCTTATATTGGAAAAGCATACTAGGGAGTGGAGACCCTATGTCTAAAATAAATTTAACTAGGGAGTGAAGACCCTATGTTGGAAAAGTGACTAGGGAGTGGAGACCCTATGTCTAAAATAACTTCTACTAGGGAGTGAAGACCCTATGTTGGAAAAGTGACTAGGGAGTGGAGACCCTATGTCTAAAATAACTTCTACTAGGGAGTGAAGACCCTATGTTGGAAAAGCAGACTAGGGAGTGGGGACCCTATGTCTAAAATAACTTCTACTAGGGAGTGAAGACCCTATGTTGGAAAAGCAGACTAGGGAGTGGGGACCCTATGTCTAAAATAACTTCAACTAGGGAGTGGAGATCCTATTTTGGAAAAGTGACTAGGGAGTAGACCCTATGTCTAAAATAACTTCAACTAGGGAGTGGAGACCCTATATTGGAAAAATGACTAGGGAGTGGATACCTTATATCTAAAATAACTTCAACTAGGGAAATGAGACCCTATGTTGGAAAATCAGATTAGGGAGTGGGGACTCTATGTCTAAAATAACTTCAACTAGGGAGTGGAGACCCTATGTTGGTAAAGCAGACTAGGGAGTAGAGACCGTATGTCTAAAATAAATTCAACTAGGGAGTGGAGACCCTATGTTAGAAAAGTGACTAGAAAGTGAAGACCCTATGTCTAAAATAACTTCAACTAGGGAGTGGAGACCCTATGTCTAAAATAAATTCAACTAGGGAGTAGAGACCATATGTTAGAAAAGTGACTAGGGAGTGGAGACCCTATGTCTAAAATAACTTCAACTAGGGAGTGAAGACCCTATGTTGGAAAAGCATACTAGGGAGTGGAAACCCTAGGCTACCATGTTTTTTTGAATTATTTTCTTCTCTTTTTATTTTTATTTCATTTTTTACTTTTATTTAGTAGAATGAATGAATAGTTTAAAAGGACTTCCCTTTTCGGGTCAACTTTTGTTGTATAACCGTTTTGGTTTCTGCGTGCCTTACTTTTATTGCACCTGCTCCTTGCAGGGTTGTTTTAGACTGCACCTGTTTTCAAATCAAAGAACAATTCAGTTTGAAATGGTTGTTGGTTTTGTGGCCTTGATTATTTCAACCTCTTGATCTCGGCCCCTTTCATCTGCAACTGGTTGTTTCTTGAATACCGATTTCATTTCTAGCCTTGGATAAAACTCTAGCTTTTCCAGACTTTGCCATGATTGTTGGTCGGTGGAACTCAACTTTATCAACTTTATTTTCCCTTCGTAGGCTTTTCCCTTCTGATTTCTTCTTTTTTTTTTCTTTTCTTTGGAGCATTGGGCTTGGCGTATTGGGGAACTTTTTGGCTCCTCAAACTTTGCTGCAACGGCTAGTCGCGTGGGACTTAACCTTTTCCAACTTTATTTCGCCTTCGTAGGCCTTTCAGTTTTGGCTTCTTTCTTCCAACTTCAATTTCAGAGCATTTGGGGCACCTTGGCTTTTCAAACCTTTGCCGAGATGGTTAGCCACGAAGGACTCAACCTTTTCAACTTCATTTGCCTTTATAGGCACTTCAATTTGATTTTCTCCTTCCAAGAGTTTTGATTTTCTCCTTCCAGTCGAGATCGACTTATGCCCCTGAAGAGGCTGCGTGCCTTTTTGCACATTAGCTCGCGTCAAATGAGAACCCCGTAAATCAGCCTTGCCATTCTTTCTTTGTCTTAGTTTCGGAATAGTGTTAGACCCAAAGGGATTCAAAGAAAACAAACAAAGGAATGGAGAATGAGTTTAAAACAAGAAGTATCCCTTTCGGGGAAAGGAAAGAATGACTTATCTGGAGTACATGCGGACTTCAATGAACATGACATGCCTTTTGGACTGGATGCCTGATCTGTGTAAACCGTCCGACTCTCAGAAATTCATCACAACTTTTGCCTCAAAATCGAGAAACCTTGCCAGGACTCTGTCAATGCCGATAGCTGTGAGGATCCTCTTCTCGATCAGGGGCGCCCTTTGCGGGTTTTTACGAGATGACCTCTCTTATTTCTTTTCTCACCATCGCCTTATAGTGCTTTTTGCGAGTTTTCACTAACAAGACTCTCATTTTCAATTTCTCTACTTATCATCGCCTTACAGTGCCCGTATGGGATTTCACTAATAAGACTCTCTCGTTTTGTTTCTCTCATTTTGATTGCATTGAATCCAAGTAGATGCATTCTCCGATCCTTGAACATTCTCATCGATTGATCAGAAGGACTTGAAAGGATTTGGGTAAAAATAATTTGGAATGAATTACAACTTTGGAACCATTCAGGCAGGATCATCGCCGAACTATTATAACATCTGCCCCAGTTTCACTTTTGGGGGAATTTGGATTTTTGTTTTGGTGTGACTGAACCCTAGAAAGAGGCTGCCTATGTATCCTTTCGGAATCAAGTCGAACTTAGTTCAGGGAAACTTTTGTTTTTTTTTTCTTTTTGTTTTTTTTCTCTTTCTTTTTCCTTTTCCTCTCTTTCTTTTTTTTCATTTCATTTTCTTTGCTTTTCTTCCTTCTCTTTTTTTATCTTTCTTTTCCTTTTTCAATAACACTTTTAGGTTCCAAAGAGGGTAATCAAAGAATGGGAGCCGACTCAAAGGGTTTTCAAAGGGTTAATAGTGTTTGGTTAGCGAGAATGAAAGCCTTCGTCATCCCAACCGGAGAATATTAGTACTATATGGAGGATCCAACATAGTACCTTTTGACTGCATTTCCATTGACAGTTATTTCACGGACATTTCCTTCGATGTGTCCCAAGTACAACGCACTCTTTTGGTAGTACTCTTGTTGCAATGTATGTATCTTTCCAATCTGGGAACTAATTTTACTTCAGTTGTTCCAACTCTTTGTTTTATTTCCTTAAACTTTATATTCATTGCGATCTAATCCTTGATTCATTATTTCGAGGTCTGACAG